CAACTGTCTGCGACCTTCTCATACGGTTAGTGACTGCAAATCTATATTCCGTTGTCAAAAATGTCGTCACCGACATCATACGCTTCTTCACGAAGATGTTTCAGTTGTTTCTTCGGAAAATCAATCCAATAATAACAATCAGACCCCTAATCAGGTTAGGGTTCTGACGAGTTTCGACGATGGTTCGGTCGTGCTATTATCTACCGCTTACATTCAAATACGCGATCAGTCTGGCATATTCCAAAACTTTCGTGCCTTGATTGATTCTGGCAGTCAAGCACATTTCATTACCGAACGTGCTCTTCACCATTTAGGTATTACTCACACTTCGAGATCACGTCAAGTTCGTGGCTTAGGACAGTCAACCGCTTCAGTAACAGGCAATGTTGATCTCCAAATTTGTGCCAATGGTAAACCGCTTTTCACCATAAACGCCTTAACATTGCCTCACATATGTGGCAAGATGCCATCCGTTCATCTCGACCAAGCATCGTGGCATCATGTAAGGAATTTACCATTAGCTGATCCAAACTGTCATAAGCCTGGCCCCATTGACCTTCTCCTTGGTGCGGAGGTCTTCGCTTCGCTACTGTTACCCGGTCGAGTCGACGGAGGACCGAAGCAACCATCCGCCCTCAACTCTGTTTTTGGCTGGCTTCTGGTAGGAAGTGTTGGTTGCAAAGACGAAGAGGTGCGATCCTTCTTCATTAATAAAAATGACGTTCTTTATGAAGAAGTACAGAAACTTTGGGAGCTAGATTCATTCAATTTCGTAAATTCAAAACATCTCACTCCTGAGGAAGATAAGTGTGAGAATATCTTCGCAAATACTCACTCACGAGATTCCACGTATCGATACGTTGTTACCTTACCCTTCAAAGATGAAGAGAAGGAACATTCTTTTCCCGGATCTCGCGACACCGCTTTGCGTTGTTTATATTCACTAGAAAAAAGACTTTCCAAAAATTCCGATCTTCGTTTGCAATATAATGAGTTTATGAAAGACTATTTAGACAGTGGTCATATGAGCCCTGTTCCTATCGAAAATTTAAAGTCTGGAAAGTACTACATTCCACATCACTGCGTCGTTCGTCCGGACAGTGTCACAACGAAACTTCGTGTTGTGTTCAACGCCTCTGCCAGGGATTCTAGAGGTATTTCGCTTAACGATACATTACTCATAGGGACTAAACTACAAACTAATATTGTTGAGATACTTTTGAACTTCAGGGTTCACTTTGTTGTTTTTATGGCCGACATGCGACAAATGTATCGGCAGATCGTGGTTAGTGAGGCTGATCGTGACTACCAACGTATTTTCTGGCGTTTTGACACTAACCAACCCGTTCAAGAGTATCGTTTAAATACCGTCACGTACGGCATGTCTTCCGCTCCATTTCTTGCATGTCGTACAATAAAACAACTGGTCTTTGATGAAGGTAAGGAACTGCCTCTTGGAAGTAAGATCTTGTCTTCTGACTTATATATTGATGATCTGGTGACGGGTTTTGAGAGCCTGGAGACCGCTAAAAAGGCTAAATCAGAAGTTATCGACCTGCTGCAGAGAGGACATTTCGAACTTCGCAAATGGGCGAGCAACGAACCGAAACTTCTTGAGGACTTGCCACCGGAACATTGTTTGACTGGTCCAGTGTCTCTCGATACCGATGAAAATAGCTTTTTGAAGGTTTTAGGTCTAAGGTGGGATCCGTGGAGTGACTCTTTTCTCTTTGCAGTAAAACCACGGCGCGTAAAGTGCACCAAACGTAATATCCTGAGTGAAGTGGCTCGCATTTTCGACCCTTTAGGTTTTCTTTCGCCCCTTACCTTGATTGCTAAGGTCTTGGTTCAACGCCTATGGGTTCTTAATGTGGGCTGGGACGAGGACCCGCCTACCGATGTTGTACGCTTCTGGAATCGTTATCTGGACCAGATTCATCTCTTAGAGACTCTTAAAATTCCCCGTTGCGTGTCTGTGGTATCCATTATATCGTGTGAGCTTCATGGTTTTTCTGACAGCTCAGAAACCGGTTACGGCGCTGTAATTTACTTACGATTAGTCAATGTATCCGGTGAAGTAAGAGTGTTTTTCCTCTGTTCGAAGGCGCGTGTGGCTCCAACAAAATCAACCTCTCTACCACGCCTCGAGCTATGTGCAGCAATGCTCTTAATTGATTTATTAAAGTTTGTACTTAACTCAAATTCGCACAAGTTTTCTATTACTCAGGTCTATGCGTGGTCTGACTCGATGGTTGTTCTTGCCTGGTTTCGTTCACATCCTTCTCAGTGGCAGACATTTGTCGCCAATCGAGTCGCTTACATACAGGAAGTCCTTCCCATCGCTAAATGGAACCATGTTTTTTCTGAGGATAATCCCGCCGATTTCGCTTCTCGCGGACAGCTTCCATCCGATCTTGTAAACAATACTCTATGGTGGGCGGGGCCAGGACTTTTAGAATCTTCCGATCGCTGGCCTCAGCAGGTCAATCTTTCCGAAGAAGAAAATATGCTCATAGAGAGGAAGCCTCCACGCGCTCTGTTAATCCATGATAATGGCCAGTCTGACCAAATATCGATATTCGATACTCTTCTTCGCCGTTATTCATGTATTCGAAAAATACAAGGCATTCTATGTTGGTGGTTAAGATATGCCTCTTTCCTTCGTAATCAGCGTTCGTGTTGCTCTGATCTTTTCCTTACTCGTACAGAGCTTCATAGTGCTTTAATGATGATTGTCAAACATGTTCAATCTTTTGCCTTCGTAACTGAAATTCGACAGTTGAAAGAAGGACACATTCTTTCAAAACAAATGCGTAAACTTAATCCGTTTCTAGACCCCTCTGGAGTTCTCAGGGTGGGCGGTCGCTTAGCCAGATCTGGTCTCGAGTTTGAACATAAGCATCCCGCTTTGATTCCGCGTGATTCTAGATTCACATATCTCATTATCGAAGCGTTTCATCGTGAAAACTGTCACGCCGGTGTTAATACAATGCAGTATCTTTTAAACCAACAATTTTGGATTCTATCTGCCAAAAGAGCTATACGTCATTGCTTGTCCAAATGTGTGTCATGCTATAAAACAAAACCTGTGCCTCTTGAACCGTATATGAGCGATTTGCCTGCAATCCGCATTAATCAAGTCAAACCTTTCTCAGTTGTCGGTACTGATTATGGCGGTCCGTTTCGTATAAAACTTGGAAAGCATCGTGGTGCTAAATTAGGTAATGATATTTATGTCTTTTCGTTTGCCTCACCACCAAGGCTATTCATCTAGAGGCTGTTTCCGATCTCTCATCTGATGGTTTTATAGCAGCTCTTCGACGTTTCGTTGGTCGTCGCGGCAGAGTCAGTATAATTCATTCCGACTGCGGCACCAACTATGTAGGTGCAAGCAATCATCTCCAGCGTTTTATGCAGAATGCGGCTCATAAGGAAAACATCGAATTTCGTTTCAATCCTCCTTCGAGTCCCCACTTCGGCGGAGTGTGGGAAATCCAAATTAAATCTGTTAAATCTCATCTGTATCGTATCATAGGCGAGCAATCATTAACTTTCGAAGAATTAACCACACTTTTTGTTCAGATAGAATCCCTGCTAAATTCGAGACCACTTTATCCACTCAGCTCTGATCCGAACGATTTAAGTGTACTAACGCCCGGTCACTTTCTTACGATGGAACCGTTAACTGCGATTCCTGACGAAGACTACTCGGCTTTAAATATCAGTCGCTTAGGTAGGTGGCAATTGCTTCAACGTTTTCAACAAGACTTTTGGAAGCGTTGGAAGCATGAGTACCTCCAGTCTCTCACTGTACGAGCTAAGTGGACTAAGTACGCAAAAACGTTAGAAGTGGGATCCGTAGTTATTCTTAAAACCGATAATACGTTACCATTGCATTGGCCTTTGGCCCGAGTAGAGGTGTTACATACTAGTCCTGATGGAATCGTTCGTATAGCTACCGTTAAAACTATCGATGGCTCTCGTCTTACGAGACCTTTGGTAAAGCTATGTCCTTTACCTAACCAATCTGACTAATGCGCTGTAGTTATTAAACCTAAATAATTATAAATAGTTTTAGTTTAGAAATTAGATCATATGCCTCTCGTAATAAAATCTTAATTCTAAATTTTCGTATAAATCGTTTTATTCTATATCGAAAAATACTTTAACGTATTTTTGGTGGGCGGAATGTTCCGTTATCACTTAATCGTGGTTACATATTTATTATTTTAAATGTGGGTAGGTTCGCAACGAGAACGATGCATCTGCGAATGTGGTTTTTTACTAGCCTAACGCAGACAGTTAGCCACTGATCACACGAGAGGACCGTCGGACCTGGACGTCGAGGACGTTCCATTATTAATGCAAGTTGCGAATTTAAAAGTTATAGTAAGAAGAATGTGATGTCGTCAAACATAATTGAATTTTATTAAATCGAATTTTCAATAAATATTGTTAACTTTTATTCTAGAAAAAGTTTTTACAAATACATAATTCTAAAGGAGACCTTTGATGCTGTTTTGCCCAATTTAAAAGACTCACTCATCAAAATCTCAATAAATTCAATAAAAATTGCTGAAAATCTGAATTAAATGAGGGAATCAGCGTATGAAGAAACGTTATTACTTAAACTAATACTATTGGTTAAAATTCATTTCCATAAATGTGATTGGTTGTATCTAAAATCACGTGATTTCCGTAGGTTATTGTTATTAACTTAAAGATGCACATTTGCCATAATTAATTATAATATAATTAACAATACATATTATGTGTTGCTATTAATGTATGTTTGAACGACATTTGTATGTGGTACATGTGTATAATAAACTCCATTTATACTTTCAATGAATTCGGCGTTTTTTTTCTACACATAAATGCATGATAATACTTGAGGTACAACAACATTGGGCAGAGTTGTATGGAGAAAAGAATGGGTCCTTTGCGTGTAAGCTATGTAAATTATGTAAGTGTAAGCTAGTATTGTCATAAATACTCACATAGAATAGTTGCTTGTTGTGAGTGGTGTTTTGTAGGGTGTGGAACAGTTTGTGCGCGCCTCGAGCGGCTGTCTGAGCGCCGACGAGCGAAGAAAGCGCTATAACTACGCTTTCGTTTAGCTGTTGCAGCGCTAGGGTCCGCGTATGCTCTGGAAATGGAATCTTCCTTCAGTACAAAAACACTCATAGAAATTTGAAATTCCAAGTCGACACTTTTTGCAAAACAAAAGTGGAAAGGAGAGGTTCGATTTTTGCTCAATTTTGTACCTTGGTACAAATATCTCAAATATCATCTAAACTTATACTGAAAAAGATTTACTCATCAAAATTTCAACAAATTCGATAAAAATTGCTGAAAATCTGAATTGAAGTAGAGAATCTCCGTATAAAGAAACGTTATTACTCAGACGCAGTTTGGTTTAAATTCATTTCTTTGATTGTGATTGGTTGTATCAAAAAACATGTGCTATCCGTAGCTAATTCTTATTAATATAAAGATGCACCTTTACCATAATATAGTATCTGTGTTGCCATTAGTTTGTATGTTTGAACAACATTTTTATGTGGTACAAGTGGATAATAAACTCCATTTATATTTTTAATGAAAACACCGTATTTTTCCACACATTAATGTATGGCAATACTTGAGGTACAAAATTGGGCAGAGTTGAATGGAGAAAAGAACATCCATTGGATGCTTTATGATATTCATTTCATTTGGTATGATTGAAAACAAATACGAACATCCATGCGAGATGAAAAAAGCGCAAGTTTCTGTAAACAGAGTATAATGGCAATAATCACATTCTTTTCATCTGGAGGCTTTTTATGTAACTTGAATTTCTTTCAGGATCCATTTTAAAGCAACAACAAGTGTCAATGTGACATTGAGCTTATATCTTTACCAAATGTCGACTATAAAGACAATGCGGCTCCTGATTTATAGAAAAAACCAAAGGTGTAGTTAAAAATTAACAAGTTTAACTGCAGAACTACAAACAATACGCTACGCAACAACTGACGGTTCAATCTTTCCTTCGTCAGTCCTTCTTCAGTCCGAAAGGAACTTAGTTTCAAAAATCTACTTCAATGAGGTTGTGTAGGAAAATTTACGTCACCAGTTGCTTCATACAAAAGATCTCATGTCACAGTGGTACACTATGAAGCTTTTGGCGCGAATTAATCGAACGAGCATTTAATGGATCTATAGACTATGTGATTTAATGGATGAGTAGACATATTGTCACAGTGCTGCCACCTGGCGTCCCTCATTCCAGAAAATCCTCATTTCAATAGAATATAACTTACCTTTATCTTGAAAGTTTCTGTTGGAAGTGTTTTCACTTAATACACCGCCCGGCCACCACGACTTAAGCACTACGCTGATGTAATAATGGAGCATTTGTTCCGAGAACAGCCACGATACCGTCTCTTTGATTTGCCTGTAACAGGATATCTCTTATTCACCATCATCATCTGCCTATTACGTCCCCACTGCTGGGGCACGGGCTTTTCTTATGGACGGCATGTGAAGACTAGGCCACCATGCGAGCCCAGTGCGGATTGGAAGGTCCTAACGACAGCAGATGCAGCCGGGACCAGCGGCTTAACGTACCTTCCAATGCAAGGAAGAGTTCAAGATAATAAGTTTTTGGTTACCTATCCAATGACCGACCATTGCGAATGTTTGTTTAACTTTCACGATCGCAGACCGAATGCGCTAACCCCCTGCGCCATCGAGCTTCTCTGTCTACCATAAATTATGAAGTTGAGCAGAGATATAAAGCAATTGTGCTTCACGTTAGTATTACTCAATAACGCCTTTTGCTGGTTTTGACTTAAAGTAAGGCGTGCCAATAATTTAAAACTTCAAACCTTCCTACAAAATACCTAGAATTGGGAAATGGGGATTCGTTACAATGTATACCCGCATTTTAAAATAAAAATAATACCAAAGACGAGGCTAATCGGTCTCAGTATTATTTACCTTCTTATTAAGGTATAATATGACCAAAAACGCAGGACTACTGTAAAATAAAATTTAGATAAAACAGCATAGAAAAAACTTCATTATTTTTAACATTTGACTGCTGGGTTCACAAATCTACAGTTTTCTTTTCTTGTTTTTTTTAAGAAATAATTTTCATGAAAGTTATACTTACCTATTTATAGTCCGTCCGTATGTGATCTGCACGAAAGTGACCAGAGTTTTCCTCAGCCATCGGAACACGCCTCGCATGTCGAATACTTCGCTCAGCAGCGAGTACAACGGCTCCGCTATACTGTCTCTCTCTTCACCTGCTATACCGACACCTGAGGAAATGGACCTTATTGCAATAACATTAACGGTCAGATTCAATAAGGGGTCATCCATAGAGTACGTCAAAAGTTAAGGGGGAGAGAGGGGGTCGACGAAGCGTGACAAGGGATGCGAGGGATCCCGAGTTTCGTGACGTCACATTTCAAAATCGAATACTTTTGACCTATTATCAAAAAATTTTAAAATATTTAAAACTCTATCTGGGGGCCAATCGCCTAACGGAAATGCTTTGGGAAACGCTAACGCTTACGATATTATATTGTTATTTCTAGCCGCCTAAGGTTTTCGAATACCTCACGCTCATTTTTTTTAATATTGTTATTACCAATGCAAAAGAAAAAGAAAGAGCGCGAGGCATTTGAATACCTCAGGCGGCTAGAAATAACAAAATAAAATCGTAAGCGTTAGCGTTTTCCAAAGCATTTCCGTTAGGCGATTGGTTCGGATTTTAATTTGTTTCCTTCCCTTATTTTCGGAACTAGTTTCGGAACGGCTGTTTTGATTTAAATTTTTTTACATGCAAAATAGCAAAACGTGTGATGCACACTAGGGACGGGGGACTCACACAAGTGACCAACTGTGACAAGGAGGGGTAAAATAATCACGAAATTAGTGTGACGTTCCTTATGGATGACCCCTAATCATACTGTCTCTCTCTTCACCTATGATACAACAGGAAAGGTAGTAATAGTACAACAACAGTATAGGTTGTAACAATACAAACGCCAGTTTCTATAATAAACCTACAGTAAAAGGTAGGGATCCTGTTTCGGAGCTTAGCACAAGTTATTGTTATAATCTTAATATTAAAAATATCTATAGTGGAACACGCGACGCATGTCGAACATTTCGCTCAGCAGCGAGTACTACATCACCGCTATACTTTCTCTCTCTTCACCTACTTTTTTATAATTACTAACGGCCAGTTTCAATAAGGGGTCATCCATAAAGCACATCACACACAGCCACATTTCAAAATCGAATACTTTTGAACTATTATTCAAAAACTTTAAAATAGTTAGAACTCTATCTGTGTTTTAATTTGTTTATTTGGCTAATTTCAGAACTAATTTCGGAACTGGGGCCCAATTCTCGCGGCGTAGATATTATATCGTCTTCGAGATAATATCGAAAGTAGGGATATCTATTGAAAATATCTACTGATGGTAAAAAATGCTATTCTCGTGGATTTTCGATATTCCAATGATATTATATCTATCGTAGATATTCTTTCACTGCCGAATGCGTTGAGTTTTTCTCGATTAAGTTAACATCATAGTCTATATAAAATAATAATAAATTAGAGCAGAATTTTACAAGCAAAAAAATGATATTTTATGAATTCCATTCATATTAAATATGAGTATACATTTTTTGAGTATAAGAAATCTCAACTTTACCTAAATTGTATGCGTATATAATTTCTACGTTAAGTATAATGCAACGTCAATATTATTTAAGATTCTCCCTTTTCAGGGAAGGCAAAGGGAACAATTCCCATAAAGCCTAGTCTTTAGTTATATTAATCTTCTTTTTTTTACATTCGAATGTCGGTGTGACGCATTCTAATGTTTCTTGGAGTGTTTGACACGAAATTTATGGAGTTGGCTTTTTCTCTAAGCTTCTGTGAGGTAGTCAACACTACAATAAACTTCTCGCGTCCACTTGACCGGAATAGCGTATATTTTAAAGATTCCACTAATTCTTCAGTTGCGCAGACGGTTGTAACACCAAATCACACCAATTTTATTTCACAATATCCACTATGAACGAATTTTAGAATAATTAAAATAAGATGCCAACCGCACTCGCAGAAATCCCGCCAAAACTCCGTATCGTCAATAAGAAAATGGTGTCGATTCTGGCATGATTCTGTAAACCTAAACGTAAATTTGACAACAGTGTATCCTTGTCATTCTCCATACAGAATGAAAAGGAGAGACTGATGTTAAATTTAGTTTTAAGTTTAGAGAATCGTGTCAGAATCGATACCAATGTCATTCATAACTTTAAAGATTTCTAACCAAATTTTTGTTTAAACGTAATTTTTTTAAGTCGGCGTCCCTCATTTCAAATGGGTCCTCTTGCTCTTACAACGGCGGCGCCTTAGCACAGCAGCAGCAATCAGGTCATTTATTAAAGCATTGACGAAAACATGAATCAACTCATCCATCGTTAATATAAACTGGTGTCGATTCTCTAAATCTAAACATAAACTTGACAACAGTGTTTCCTTGTCATTCTCTATACAGAATGAAAAAGAGAGACTGATGTTAAATTTAGTTTTAAGTTTAGAGAATCACGCCAGAATCGACACCATTGTTTACCTACTTCTTTATTTACTAATTATTTATGAAGGCAGTTAACAACATCTTGAGGTAACAATAATTGCCAAAGACACACGACAACACAATAAATAATAGGTAAAAAAAGTGGAAATAACAAGATTGACATGCCAAGATCCATAGATATTTATATATCGAAGGCTCTTTACCAGTCGATGTATGTCTACTGATCATCCGTAGATAAATATCTATTGCGACATGGTGAGAATAGGGCAAAAAAGTTTTCCTTCGATAAAAGCCAGATCATTCGATATATATCGAAGGTGATATAATATCTATGCCGCGAGAATTGGGCCCCTGCTATTTTAATTAAAAAAATCTACATCAAAATAGCAAAAAACGTGACGTCACACTACGGACGGGGGAGAGGTTAAAAAATCACAAAATTAGTGTAGTTCACATCATATCGTGTATCACAAAAGTAGTGTATTAGACGTACCTTATGGATGACCCCTAATCACACTGGCTCTCTATTTACCTATGATTCCGACACCTGGGAAAATTGACCTTATTGCAACAATAGTAAAAGCCAGTTTCAATAATAGCAGTAAAAGCTAAAGATAATCTGGTTCCGGTTCTTGGAAAAAGTTATTTGTTATAATCTAAATATCAAAAATATCTTCGGAACACGCAAGCATGTCGAACACTTCTCGTCTCTCTCTTCACCTACTATGGGCATCTGGAGTATTGGACCTTATTACAACAACCACAAAGTTGATTTCGTTTCTGGATAATATTATGGAAAATGTAGTTGCAAATATAAAGGTACGCAAGCGTCATATGGGTAATGATCGCTATAAAGTTTTCTCTTCTCCTAATATGCCAGCACCTGGGAATATGAGCCTTATTACAATAACGACATAGTTGATTTCTTTTCTAGATATGATAATGGAAATTGTAGTTGCAAATGCGAAGGTGCGCAATCGTCAATAGGCTATGTTAGCTGTTTACGATCAGGCGGGCCATGTGCTTGTTTGCCACTCTTTTATCATAAAAAAGTTGCAGTAAGTGTCTATTACGCGTAAACACATAAGACAACATTTTTGTGTTGCATAGTGGTTTTTATTATTGCACTATAATGTAACAAGTTAGCCTTTTTAATTGACCAAATGTGCTCATTTCTAAATGCGAAATAGTTAAAGACGTGCAAATGATTTTCACCTTTATTATACGAACCAAAGAGAGTTCAAGACCCGCTCTCAAAGGATTTTTACCTTTACTATATTATACGAACCTCTCATAGCACCACTGATATTTTTGTTATTACCATCGCCTCCGTTCCCGTCTAAGTACAATGATATTTCATCTTCATCGGCCGAGAGGTGAGCGAATGCCTCCCTTTCTTGGGATGATCTGCTTGTCGCTTCACTGCTTGTGCTAGTAAATAAATAATGTCGCATTTTATATAAATTCTAAAAATCTCACGTCCACACTCAGAGAGTTCAGTATATTTTAGTTTGATTAAAGTTGATGATCTCACTGTCTTCGTGATAAAATAGAAAAATACAGCATGTAACACAATCAAACAATAAATTTAATTATCAGTCTAGTTTGGCAGAGCAATAGAAGTAGGTATAATAAACAAATCACTAAAAAGGGGTTTACCTTTTAAATAAAGTAGAAAATGAAAATTTATTTTTCTTTGGTAGATCTCCTTGTTTCATTAATTCTGAACTCGGATTCAGGAATGTATATAAAGCTTCACTTTGATTCAGTCTGTCGTCTTCTAAAACAAACTGAAAGTAAAGTAAAATAATCTTTCTATAGAACTTTATTTTAAACGTTTTACGGTTCATTTTGTAATACACTCGATTAAGCAACAGCATCTTAAGCTCGTTAAAACATTATACATTACATACTTCTAAATACTTTTGTATTAAAATTTTTGCTTTTTCCAAAGAGTTTCTGTCGTTTTTGCCAAACAAAAATTTGAATGAATTGGTCGGTAGTTCTAAATTTTTCAGTTCTGAACATAAAGGCCTTAATTTTCGATGTAATTCCTGTAAATCGGAAAAGAAATATGAGTATTAGGTATAGTTTATAAATTAAGAGACGATTTTCAATGAGACAGTTTTATTTTCCCTGTGATAGATGGCAATCAATGCTACTCGTATTCAGTGCCGTCTTTGACCTATTGGAGTCCCTGGGCATATTAGGATAATGGGGCCCCTATGACCCCCGTTTGGTGATTTAACAGGAACTAGGGACTTTGAATTTGATCTGGAGGGGGCCCCTATCGATCGCGGGTCCCTGGGCACTTGCTTCACAAGACAAGTTCGTAAAGGCAATATCGGCAAATGTTGTTTGACAAATCATTTGACTATCATTTGACATTCGCGCCACGTATCGAATCGACTTGATCAGGCAGTACCAAGTAAAACTAAGTATTAAATTAGCGGTCGCTACTGGTTTAGAATTAAAATTAACAAGTAGTGACAAATATCTGCCCAAAAATGTTTATTGGTACTTGGAATGGAAAAAGGTTCATTTATTAAGTTAAGTTTTAAGGTATCATATTTACTTGAAACTCATTGAGTGTCCTCAGAAGCACCCAACCGGTGGATATTTGTTCCGGTTTCTCTTCGCACGCGGCCACTTCCTGTTCGGCCATGTGAACTACTATCACGAACTGTGGTGGTTTCGATTCGTCTATTACCTGAAATTGAGTATTTATTTGTAGTGCACTCTACATGTTACATTAGCCTAATGCAAGGTTTCCTCTTTCTACTAATTCAGTTCGGTTTACAAATATATCCTCTCCGGCGGCCATGCGCATGCGCCGTTAACCCGTACGTGTGGCCACCACCCTTATGAGACCCCCCGCGGGGTGGGAACGCCTGCATTGTATTGGCGATTTCTCTGTTATTTTGTCAGAATACCCTACCCAAACTATATATATATTTGGATTCTCCATAAAATTTACTATAAAACAGTGTCTACACACTGCGTCATGTCTATAATCTATTTTAATTACGTTACGGTAAGCTCAGGAAAGATAAAAAAGCGTTTAGATGGGTAAAATGAAGTATATTTTCAAAATTTTAAAATTTTATCCAGCTTTTTTTACCTGAAATTGAGTATTAATTTGTAGCGCACTCTACATATAACATTAGCCCACAGCAAGGTTTTCTCTTTCTACTAATTCAGTTCGGTTTACAAATATATTCTATATGTACTGTCAAAGAAGTTAGTCTTCACTTTCAGACGATCCATGCAAGTTTGTATGCACTTTCCGTTATCAATATCGAGTTTATATTATATTTATAGTAGATGTCTCCTAAAATTCGACGACTGATATCTTAACTTAATGTATATAAATTTTACACATGAAAACAATGTTTGAATCGTTAATAAAAAAATAACAATATGTAGGTACTATCGATAAAAAATTATTCCCGACCCACTTGCCCGATAATTCGCATATAAATGTCAAAGAGACAAGTTTTCTTCTATAAAGAGTGCGTTATTGCACTAAGTAACACTTCTAATAACAAGGGAAATGTATAAATGTTGATCAATTAAAATTTTACCTTTGTATTCAATGCAGTAGAGCATCTTTTAGATAATTCAGCCCATGTCTCCAGATACATCAGTTCGCCCGTTGAAAATGTTTAAGACCGACAATTCTCATCTCTCGTTAAAAAGTATTTATATAAAAGGAAAGGAATTAAAGTGACCGACCTCAGCGCTATGGACAGTGGTCCACCTCCTGCTCAAGTGTCTCTAGACGCATCTGTTCTTCCACTAACCTCTGCACAAGTCACCATATAGTTTACCCAAGGACAGAAGATTCTCTTCTCCCGCTGAAAAGTCTATACTTAAAAGAACTAAAACTGACCTCAGCGCTATAAACAGTAGCCCGCCACCTGCCCAAATGTTCCGCCCAGGTTTCTGTGCGAGCTACGTGCGCTTCCAGTCTCATCTGTTCGCCCTATTATAACGAGTCCCGGGGTTGAGGTTTTAAAAAATGAAATGAGATTAAATCAGATTAAGTTGGGCACACAACCGTCACGAACAATGGCTTGAATGGGACTGATCGCTGGCCGATGTCGCTATAGCGACGCTGGCCTGAAATGCTGATGCGGCAGCATCAGTTATGACTGTAAGCTATTCTGTGAACATTTCAGGGGTGTAACATCTCCCCCCTAATGGAAATAAACTTAGGGGTAAATCCCTTAAGTTTATGAAACAAGGGATAACTGGAAATTAAACATTTATTCTGATTTTAGCTGGCGAGCTGCCTTTCTTGGAGGTCTCTGGTTTAAGGTCAGGGTCTGTTTGTATGTCCGTGGGATTTCGAGATTTTCGATTCGATTGGTTGAGGTTAACTAGGGGAATGTGTACTTGTTCATGTTTGTGAGGATTGTTGCCTTTATTTATTTTTTTATAAAGTTTTAATAAAATAATAATTATTGTAATTATAATAATAAGTATAGTTAAAATAGAGTAATGTGGCCCGTATTTTACAATATGTAGTTCTTGTATGATTTTATCTAATTCTAATATTACTCTTTTGTTAATGCTATCCTTAAAGTCAATTTGATCTAGGTCTAGGTTTTCGAGCTGAATTTTAGGAACATCATTTGAAATTTCGTTAAATCTGGATACACTACAACATGGCTCATTTATTAGGTTAAAATTTAAACTATGGGAAGATGAGCTTACATTCATGACATTATATTTAGGTATAAGTTGTATGTTTTTACAATATGCTTTACAAAGTACGGGAATTTCTATAATACCAGTGCCAATGAGGGTTTCTTCTGACAGAGTAGAGTTAAAACAATCAATAGTTAATTTCTTAGGACTAGATAGGACATATATCCATCTATTGTTACGGAGGGATTTATAAACAATTACATTTCCATGAATAAACTCGGTTTTACACTAGGGTTTGGAAGGCCCGTTACGACCTTTGACAGGAGTTCACTTTCACAATTCGGATTTTCACTAGTAGGATATACATTAGTAGTTTCATAAACATAGTCTTGATGGATAGTATTCTTACACATTTCCAAAGAATCCGGGTTACTGTAATGCATTTTGTCTTTTGTCATCATGATATACTTATGACTAGGTATTATAACACTAAATGTGTCTGGTCTTATAGAATTATGAGGAACAGGTAATGGTACATTCTGATACAAATAAAACTGTTGAGGGGTTACTAAGAGATTTTGTAATACAAACACTATCTTATTACTAATATAATAACAAATTACTTTACTTAAACTCATAATTATGTGTATATGGTTAATGTCTAAAGCTATGGCGAGCTCCAAACCATTGGGTAAGTGTCTATAGCTATCGGCGAGATCATCGAAAAGTTTTCGTGGTGTTATTACAGAGGGATGGATGATGTTAGCGTTACTGAATAATATTGAATTAGTGATGTCTTCAAGTTGGAAGGATAGGGTAAGCAAGGATGATTCTAAATTATTGAAGACTACATTTACGTCAGAAGTTAATTGCAACCGATCTGTAATATCTGATAGGTTTTTCCGGATTATAGAGATCTTGTCGATAGCTAGGTTTACTTTTTCTTCGTTTTATTTTACTTTATAATATGTTTCATTAAATTTAGACAATACGGATGTGGTGACTAATATATTTTCTTTCGTGAATGAAGCTAGTTTTTTCTGGTCAGATTGCACATGATCGATAGCATTGTTATATTTAATCGCATCATCTTCGTCCAAAGTGCCGAAGATTTGTTTCATCGCGGTTCCAATTCCACCAATCCATGCACCACGCTTAGCTCTATTATCGATGAGATGAGTCATGGAAGCATATTCCTCTATAATATCCCTGAATCTAACTGAGAACGGTTGTAGCACATTTGACATTCTGAATTACCGAGGGGTTCTATTGCACCATAGATGTATTTCATTTTGTCGAGCACTAAATTTATATTTCGGATATGGAGCTTAATGTATGAAATGTCTACAGGAGTTAAAACACTCAAGTGACCATTTAATATTTTGGTTCTGCCAATATAATCAAAATAAACACCGGAACCTGAAGGAACGGGCTTAATAAGGCTCGACATCGCAGAGGAAAATTCACTACAATGACAAAGAGAATAGAAATAATGATTAATAACTAAGAAATACAAGTAATAGAGGTAGTAAAATAGTTCAATCTTATTTTACTATTTGTTTTGAAGAATATTCCTAACTTAAACAATATAACATAATAACCTAATAATTTTTATGATAGAATTATAATCTTAACCTAACAGATATAATATTAAGGAGAGCTGGGAAAGACGCCAGCTAATTTCACTTCGTCATAGTGATGCCTGACGTGTCGTCTGTTGATGAGAAGAGTCAACGTATTATTTCCGTTTATTGCGATCATCTTGTAGAGTCCCTTCCAAATAGGAGATAACGCTTTTCTGAGTCTTAAGTGATTTTTGAGGTAGACGTAGTCGCCTACTTTATATTGGACTGGTTTGGATTTGTTATCATAGTAAGTTTTAGATCTTTCTTTGGACTGGCGGATATTCTCAGAGGCTTTTCCCCAGGATAATTTAAGACGGTATTGGAGCATCCTTACATAGTTGGGGTAAGTAGTAGTATCTTGATTATGGATGGAGTCCGGAATAAAGGCTTTATGCCCAAATAGGAGTTCGTAGGGTGTGTTTGTGGTGCAATGCACAGCTGTATTGTAAGCGAGAATAGCGGTGTAGACGTAACGGGGCCAGTCATCCTGGTCGACATTTACGTATGACTTTAGATATTCTTTGAGGGTGGAGTGGCTGCGCTCGAGCGCGCCTTGAGTTTGGGGATGGTAAGGACTTGACTATAAGTGCTTTATTTTCAGGAAGCTGCAGGTCTTTTTGAAGAGTTCAGCGGTAAAGTTTGTTCCTTGATCGGTGACGATGGTCTTGGGAATTCCGAACAAGGATATGAAATGGACGAGGCAGTCGGTTGTTTCTTCTGAGGAAACGCTGCGAAAAGGATAAGCTGCTGAGAATTTGGTGAGGTCATCCTGAAGAGTCATTATGAATTTTAATTTGGCAGGGCCGGACTCTGGTAGAGGACCGACTATATCAAGAGATATCCTTTGAAAGGGGCTGGTAGAAGTAGTAGTTATCTGTATGGGTGCTGTTCTGGCGGATCGAGTGTCTTATCATGACGTGCACCATTACGTTGCTATTTACGTAGTGGGTCTCGGCAGCGTCATAACTATGGCAGTGGTTATCTTTCAACGTCGCTGGCGCCGCCGGCCAGGGCGAGCGAGGGAAGAGCCCCAGCCCCATGGAGCACAGGCTAGCACCCCCCCTGGCCTCCCTCAAGAAACTGTTGAGTGTGTTAGTGATAGTGTGGTTCAGTGCGCGAATCAATGTCGTAATGTAAATATTGAAATGAGCAATTTAAAAATGAATGAAAGTTTAGATAAAAGAGTGAGTGTTAAACCGAGTTTATCCGCTCCGCGCGTTGTTGACTGTGCCTCGTCACCTATTTTTCATAGAGAATTTAGTTCACTGTAATTAATTCTAGAGAACATTGTTTTATCAATTTGTTATTATTTTTAAGAAAATATTGTTTTATCACCTTATAATCGCGTCACTCACTTACATCAAACCATTATCATCTCTCTCCCTATCTTTGGCCCGGGAGCATGTACGAGCAAGCGCGTACATTTTGCCCC